AAGCAACTTGTGGAAAGATAATGCATATTTTGGTTTGAGGCCACTGTGAAAGTGGGGTGCTGATGGGACATCCTGTTGGGCATGGGGGACGATATGTCATTAGCAGATCTCCATGTGGCATTGTGCAGCTGCTTATGGCCAGAGATGACACCCACTGCCCGACAGCCATCTGCAGATCAGGCCATTAGCCACGCCAAGGTGGGGAGGGCTGGGGAGAAGACACAAATGGATCCCGCCTCAACACCTGAACACCCGCTCAATGCACCCGTCTCGCTCCCTAACAACAGGGTCTTCCAAGCTGCCACGTCACTGTCCCTCGTGCGCTCTGGCCGGGATCTCTGTGCACGTCCTTGCTGGGACTGCTCGTGGCAGTTCCTTCCAAAGGCAGCTTCAGAATCCTCACAGCTGCGCTCTAAGCCCAGCCAATTAGATTCGGCTGGAAAGTCAGTCGGGGCCAAAACCTGGGAGTCATTTCAAGGACACCTTTTAAGACCAAAAGGCGGCCTTTTAGCATTGACAGTTTTCTGTAGATCCAAGTCACAGGGAGCCTTTCATCTGCACGTTAACAGATGCAGGACCTGGGGGGCGAGGGGGAGCGCTTGTCTGAAACCGGAGTCATCGGGTTTTCTGAAACACACACATTGTCTTGCTTAGCTTCCACGCCACCGAGGGGGTCATCTGGGGAATATCACTGCAGGAAACGCATCTCGAGGTTTTCAATTAAAATAAATTGCCTCAATCTTTGCAAATTACACAAGATCTGTCGGTGTCATACTAGGGCCACAAAGTGCTCACTCCCAGGCGAGCTCCAGGCTGCAATCCTTCCGAGGCCACAGATGGGAAAGATATCCCCTTCAGGGCTCACAGCTGCCCGTGCGACCTTCCGAATGGAGTCACGATGCCTGGCCCTCATGGCCCCAGGAAGCTGTCAGCAGGAGCGGCGGGAAACCCAGCCTGGTGACAGGTCCCCAGGCCAGGGTCAGTCTCCGGCTGCCCAAGGTCTTCCAGTCTGTCTCAGGGGACTCCTGGCGCCCGTTTAAGTAAGGTCGGTGGCCTCACATACACTGTCTCCACCACCTGCCAACTCCCACTCACCTCAAGGACAGTAGACGACCCCCCAGTACCCACCCCCGGGTCAAGCCCTCCCTGGCCTCTGGTCCCTGTTTCCAGGCAGGGTCTCCTGGACACACCGAAGAACAAGGTCGCATCTACGTCGCTTCCCACTCTAGATCACAACCTTGTGGGCTGTGTGTTTCCTTTCTGGAATTCTCCCTTCTAGCTCCACCTCCCCCAAGAGGGTGAGGCAGAGCACAGAGTTTGGGTGCGTGGTGCTTGTATTGCTTACGGACTTCTCAGGATGTGAATATTCAACACAATGCAGGACTATTCACATTGGCACAAGCATATGTCGCTGTATTAGTCAGCTAGGGTGGCCATGACCAAGTACCACAGACTGGGTGACTTAAACAACAGAAATTTATGTATTTTTTTTTTAACAATTCTTGAGGCTAGAAGTCTAAGATCAAGGTGTCAGTAGGATTGGTTTCATTCTGAGGGCTCTCTCCTGGGTTTGCAGACGGCCACCTGCTTCTGGTATTTTCACCCCTCTGTGTCTGTGTCCTAACCTCTTTTTATAAGTCAACAGCCAGATTGGATTACAGCCCACCTTAACGGCCTCACGTAACCTTAGTTACCTCTTTAAAGACCCTATCTCTGAATATCTCTGAGGTACTGGATGTTAGGACTTCAACATATGAATTTGGGGGACACGATTCAGCATGCAACAGTCACATGCATGCACCCAGTAAGAGTCCCAGCCCTCCCGTGCCTTGCCAACGAGCCTGACTACCCGCCATTCTGTTCCGCATAAGGTGGAGTAAGGTGGAGAAGACAGCAAGTCGGATAGAGTCCGTTGATTCTGGTTCACAGTTCTGGTGGAAAGTTCGCTGGGAGGAAATGTGTGAAACTCATCACCTGTGGCCCCTTTCCTCATCTGTTTAGATTCTATGTCCCTCGTTCATGGAGGTCACCAAGCGCCTGTCACTGTGAGTGCAGATCAGCTACTCTGCGGTGCTCTAGTGACTGCAGGGGGACCCAATCACCTGGTCCAGGCCTGCTCAGAGCATTTGTGAGCTTGTGATTGCATCGGATAGAGGAAGCCACATGGAGGGGCCGGCGTGGAGACAGGCCAAGGTGCCCCAAGAGCCTGCTGGAGGCTTCATGCAGCTGTTTGAAGAGAAGTGGTTCGATCCTCACAATGGACGAGCCAAAACACTTCAGGAAATCTGCTCTAAAAGGAAAAAGATACCTACATCTGCCTTAAACAGAAGCACTGCTGTTTGAGAGCAAATACTGCAAAATGGTACAGTTTGGAGGAGGGTAGGGCCAGGGACCTGGAGAAAGGCCTGGGGGCAAGGTGGCTCTCCGGCTGAGCCCGGAAGGGAGGAGGGGGTCTGTCTGGCTGAGGGCTGGCAAGAGGGGGCCCAGAAGTGGGGACACAGCCTGTATGAAGACCGGCTTCCTGCATGAGCCTTGTATGCTCAGGTCTCCAAGCGAGGCCCCAGCCAAACCCAAGCAGAGGCAGGTTTTCCAAAGGCAGATCAGGGGGTGCTGTGTGAACAGTACACCCCCCAGAAAGAGCAGGAGCCAGAGGCCCTGCCCGGGGCTGAAATAGCGCCTGCAGACAGCAGGAGAAGCCAGCCTGTTCTCGGACTCAGCACCTCTTCTGTATCGGAACCAAAAACTGGCTCTCCACTGTCAGCATTATTGCTTTCCAGGAATCTCCTGTTTTGCAAAGTATTTTTGCCAAGATGTAATGTTTTGCAAGCCCCACAGCCCATCTCCCTCCTCCTCTGTCAAACTGATGAAACCATTCATCTTCCAGCCCCAAGCATTCTCTCCCCACCCCACCCTCACTCCCCAACTCACCCCAGAATCTGGCCGGGACCCAGGAGTCTCGGAGGCAGAAGACAGGCCCGTCTGTCTCAACCAGAACTGGCGACACGGAGGGACTGTGGTATTCTCACTGCCCAACTGCGTGTTGGCAGACAGTCCCAAGGGGCATAAATATCTCCTAGGCAGCCCCTGCATTTTGGCAAGAGACAGGGTAGGATCATTTCTGGGTATATTTTGACATGAATTAAGGGCAAGGGGCCCTTTCTAAAATATTTGCTTGAGGATCATATTTTAAATTCATTCCACTGCTCAGTGACTCCTGCTCTACATAAATTAATCAATGCAGTAAATATTTATTCAAATTCCCATTGATGAGGCCAAAGGGAATATAGGTTGGCTACAGAGAAAGCGCTTCAGGATTATTTGATGCCTGTAACCTGGAAATCATTTTAACCCAGCCCTGCAAAAAAACAATGAATTTTACCAGCCCATTGCTATACTTCATCAACCCAGGTAGAAACATCTTAAGGCTGAAGGATATAATAATTAACATTTGTTGAGCTATGGGACCCGCATTATTCTAAACATTTTGTATGTATTAACATATATAATCTGAAAGAGACTTCCATTTTTCCAGGAAAAAAAAATTCAAAATCCTACATTAAAACCACCTGTGACTCTATGCTTAGCATCCTTGCAGGTAGTCTATGGTACTATTGCTGCATCATAAATACTGGAGTGATAGCAAACTATACCTCTAATGCCTTAAACCTTTCAGCCTAACGACTATACCCAAATTGTTCTACCCCAGCATTCCTGGGAGGCCTATGCAGCTGAAGGCTAATTCAGGCTGCATTTTTCCACACTTATATATTGTACAGCATTCCCAGCTGCTGGTGGAGCCCTTGATGAGCAGTCATGCCAATTAATTACCCCTAAACCTTTCTGGAAGCCTAGCCAGAGCCCAAGAGAGGGGGGGGTGGACAGGTAGCTTTGCCTCCTTTCTAGTTTAGCCAGCCCCTGGGGTCATAACCTCCTCAGCACCAACCATGCAGCTTTGGGGGAAATAGAAGAGCAATTTAGGAGTTGAGAGAGCAAAATAGCTTCCACAAGACCTAACCGGCATTGCAATGCTTTTGCGAAGGTCTACTCTGTCCTCTGTTGCCGGTGTGGTGAAGACATTGTAAGACTGCAAAGTCACACTCCATGGGCAATAAATGCACAGCCTATGCCCTCGCCAGGTGCGTGCAGACTGTTACGCAGACTGTTACGCAGTCTAACATTTTTACTTTATGAACATTTGTGTATATCTATTATGTGTTATAAAAGGCATGCTATAATAGAAGTGGTCTCCTCTTTGTACTTGGGAGAGTAACTTGCCCTAGATCAGAGAACATAGCTAGGAAGAGGCAAAGACAGGACACAAATCAGGGTGCTGCCTCCCATCCCTTCCTCTGCTTTACGATCTCTTTACCATCGTTACCCTCCCCCGTCCCACTTCCCAGTACCCTCTTTCAGTCTCTCTGTTTCTCAACATATTAATTCAGTTATATATATATATCTGTATTTACATATATGTATTTTATGTATATATTATATATAGAGAGAGACAAACACAGATATATATATAATACATATGCTGAGCAATGACTGTGTTCCTGGCACTGTTCTAGGCACCACGGCTATAACAATGCATAGGACACATAAGGCCCCTCACTCAGAATTTACGTGGGAAATAAGTAAACAAATAATAAAATCACATCTCCTGATGACTGTAGTGAAGGAAATAAACAGAATGCTGGGATGGAAAATAACTGACTTCCCTCATATGATTTCAGGGTCACACCTGTCTCTGTCCCAAACCCAGAGACCGTCAAACTCCTGATATGTTCCTAACAGCTAAAGCATCTGATTTAGGTTACTCCCACTCCCAGCCCCTGAAAAGAGACATCCATGCCCAAGAGAGGCCCCCGGTCCAACCACCCACCCAGCTGTGTGGAATGGGATAGAAGAGAGCAGCAGACCTGCCCAGAGGAAGTGCTGAGGGGAAGCAGGAAGTGCCTAAGGGGAACAGGAAGTGTAAGAAACAGGAAGTAGAGGAACTACAAGCCCCATGGAAGTCTAAGGCAAAGAAATATCTTTAGCTGGTGTAATGTTGACTTACATCTCCTGAGACCTAACCAGACATATCAGGGAGAAGCTGGTAACAGCGGTGGATAGAAGGGTATGGTCATGGGAGTTTCCTCAATGGACTAGAAAGAGCCTCAGTAGGGAGGTATTGAAATTTCCCCTCTCTTCCACCCCACAGGGAATTTATGACTCTAATAGTGAGACTTGCCACTGTCTCACCTTTGTCAGCTAAGGGAAAATGGGAACTTCAAACAGATCCCAGTAAGCAGCCAATCTCACCTTAGCCTGGGACAACTCTAACCACGGATATCAGCAGGGTCAGGCAGTGACCACTTTTCAGAGTAGTTGCGGGAGGGCGGGATCCCCTCTGAAATGTTTGCTAGAGGAGAGGAGACACAGAATGCAAATATATTGAGACCACAAATTTACTCATGTTACAACTCAGAGATTCAAAGAAACTATTCTTTATTTTCTCTATAGCTTCAGCTGATATGCGTCATGAACCCCCAGCCTGCTGGGCAGTTGGAGCTACGAAGACTGGCCAATTGACAAATAGTTCAGACTTTTCCAATTTAAACTGTCTCCTTGCAATTTAAACATTCAGTCAGTTTATTCAAAGTTCAATTCCCTTTAGGACTGCTCAGGTTTTAATAGTCTCTCTAGGACAGCTCAGATTTCCTGTTTTGGTTCCCTTGCTACTTTCCAATATGGCAGCCAAGGGTTGGAGGAAAGGTGGGGTTTTCATGATTCCGAATGAGCAGGCAAAGGCATCTCTAAGCTCCCCTACTGGAAGGCTCCCCCAGCCAGATTTTTAATCAACTTCTGCCTGTCCCTTCAAGGGCATCCGAGCACTTCTACTGACATGCCCCACACTGGAGTTGAAGACAGCTGGGAGGCTAATCTCCAGTTTTCCCTCTCCCTGACCTGCTAAGTTGCTATGTCTTCCCCACGCTGGTGCAGTGACAGCCTGCGAAATGTCTCCTACCAGATTCCTAAATTGTGTCTCCCTCGGTTTATCCAACAGTCCCCCACCAACGTCGAGTCTGGGAGCGTGATGATGAGAGAGGATTTTAGGACTGAGTTTGCTCCCTTGCCTCTCCCATTACTGTCAGCACCTCTGCTAATCCTTCCACGCCATTGTGGAAGTGGCCAAGAGCAGGGTTTCTCCCAGAGGTCTGAAGCCTCGCTCTCATACACCCAGGGAGGCATGCCATCAGCCCTGATGTTCTGGGCTTCTCATGCCTACCTGGGTGTTTTTAGTGGCCCTATTGGATAGAAGTGTGTGGCCAAGATCTCTGATCCTGACCTAGTTGTTTTCTACCTTATTTCTTCTCTGCACCCACAGTTCCAGGTTCAAGATCATACCTTTTCCCTGCCCTAGAGCAGCAAGACTCAAGGCCTACTTGTCAATGGCCAGAGTCTGTCTCTTCCAAAATTGTGGGAAAATGTTAGGATACGAGTCCTCCAGTTTTGGTTTTTAATATGTTGAAGAATTTTGAGAGTCTTCTTCCTCTCTACAAAGTCTGGATGTCCACACTGTTGTCTCGCTGCAAATCCTATCTTGGCTGTCAGAAACTTCCTTTCTCTGTGCATCCTGACATAACAATCCCGACTCTTTCCCAATCTCCCCCTGAGGGGCAACAGATGGCTCAAACTGCATAAAGAGAACTGGGAGGAAGTTCTGCCCACAAAAATGCCAAGGGTAAAAGAACATTAGTAGTTTGCAAAAATAAAAAACAAACAAAAACCAAAAAATCCTATCCCCATTGCATAAGCCTATTTCTGAGACTCAATCAAATACTTGGCCTCATCCTGATTTGCTCCTTTTCTCAGAAGAGTTGCAGAAATACTTCCATGAATAAGGATGGGTTCGCCAGAGGCCCAGGGCCAGTTGCACCTGGTGTCTCCACTGGACCTTTACTCTTCCCTGCGTTTCCTGCTCCTCAAACTGTCCAGTAAGACACTACAGCAGCCATATGACACCCCCCTGCCTCCCAACACAGACAGCCAGGTACTTCTGACTATGACGGGAATTTGGGGGGCAGGTCTATGTCTTTTCAGTGTCAGGGCTGAACAGATGGGGCTCGACTTCACAGCTTTACAGAGTTGCCAACTTATGGCTGACCTCCTTTCCCACGGGGTGGGAGTATTTCCAGACTAACTGCTACAACCCTCTTAGAGATTCTGTAAAGGAGGGAAAACAATTGTGTGGATTCCTCGATGCCTTTTGTCTGGTGGATGCAGTCAGGAAAAGTCAGAGAAAAACCAAAGAGAACCAGAGTGCAAGTTGAACGCATTCAGATCATTTTCATTCACCAGCTTTCTCTAGGCGCCACTTCAAAGAGACAGAACTATTGTTATTTTTGATGATGTCCTGCATTCGTGCAGCAACTTCATTTTCAAAGGACTATCACATCTACTGTCTCCTTTTGTCCTCTCAAAGCCCCATGAGGTGGACACAACAAGCGCAGTCATCTCTGTGACAGATGTGTCGTCCTCTGGGGCACACAGAGGTTGTTGGAGCTGCTCAAGGTGATCTGCTCCAAAGAAACCCCGGTGACTCCCAGAGCGGCTTCTTTCCACCGTGTCACAAAGCGCCAATTGGACATAAATCTTCATAAAAAGGTGGAAAGCTGAGCGGTGCTGCTGAGTGGTTTAGAGCAAGACAGCAGCTGCCTGTAGATTGTACTGGACTGAGAAAGAGAAAATCCAGGTTCTCGTCCTGGCCCAGCCCCTGAGCAGCCGTGTGAGTTTGAGAAAGTCACCGATCCTCTCTCAGCCTTATTTTCTGTGCCCATAAAATAGGAGTAAGAACAGTATCTTCTCTATTCCCCTCACAGAATGGCTGAAAGCATCAAAAATAAGCATGCAGAGGTGCCGTATTCATGGAGGAATTTTTGGACACAGTCAGCCTTCAGAGCTGCTACTGTGACTACTCAATACCAGTAACTACAACATGCCCAGGCATGCCTAGATTTTTCCAGGCTCATTTTGGGTACCAGTCCTGGCATTTCTGACTCCTTATCGCAGGGAAGAGAGGAGGGAAATTGTGTGCAATGAATAGAAATTAGTCCTTTTATTCTTGCTTACAGATGATTGAAAGGGAAAATGCCATGTAAATATGGCGGAGGGTGGGGATATTGGGGCTCTTGGTATGTATCCTAGAAGGTCAGTTTACAAAGCACGTTTACATACTTTTCCCTTTTGATCTTCACAGCAACCAAGTCGGTGAGCAGGACAGACAGCATCACCCAGATGCAGAGACTGAAGGATGGAGCTGATGAGTGGTGTGACCCGACCAAACAGTATCGAACTCAAGCCTCCTGAGTGTTTCCTGGCCTCTCCTCCTACCCCTGGTGCTAGATTTGGAGTGGCAACTTTTAGCACTCGAATCAAAAGATTCCAGCAACTTGAACAAACGCATCTTTCTGAAACACAGCAGCAGTCACCATCACTATTCCTCGAGCTCCTAGTACTGATGGGGTGTCACATCCATTTACAAAGATATGTCTGTCTCCTGTTCGGGGCTCAGCATTGCGCCAGGACACAAAAGGCGCGCTGAAGTCAAGTGACCGGTGGCTTCCATGGTCTATGAGTCTATTAGTGGAAACCAGACGAATATATGAAACTTCAGTGAATGGTTTGAGCCAGAACCAAACCCAGCACAGGGCACGCCCCACACTAAAGAAACATGACGAAGTAATGAGACATTGAATCAATTAGCTAAAACCAATTAATGAAAAACATACTATTAAGTGCCAGGTTGTATGGTTCAGGATATAAAGGATACAGGGCTGTGGATGAAAAATAGAGCAATTAAAGTGAGTATTGTTAAGGGGAGTGTTAAGAGAAGGAAGAGACTTAACTGGATGTTAATAGATCAGTAAAGATTTTATATTGAGGGAAAAGGTGAAGATCTGCTTGGTAAGAGAGAAAAAGAACAAAATCGCAGAGAGAAGAATACGCAAGGCAGGCCTGGTACAGTGGTGCTCTGGTCACTGTTCAACACCCTCTCTTGGAGGGTTGAGGGGGAAGCCCTGATTTGTGACATTTGCCAAATTTCTGTGACACAGATACTCCCAACATGGCCAATTTCAAGCTATCAGTGCGGCACCCCCAAGTGGGGCGTTGCCGGTAGCTGAGCATCAGCATGCTGTCAGGGCGTACTTATCTCCACCGCGGAAGTACGACCGACGTAAAGGATCTCGGGAGCACAGAGAATAGTGCCATAACGTAATTAGGCAGCCGTGAGTTTTAAGTATTTTTAAGTATTTAAGTATTTTTTTAAGCCGTGATTTGAAACATAATTTAATTGTAAGTTCATATAATTACTTTTTTAAAAAAAAAATCCTAAACTAGAGACAGAAGTTTATGTAATTACTTTTTTGCAATGGCTGTGTTTATCAGCTGCTCACAAACTTCCTGAAAATGTAGCATGTCTCTGGCCAGCCGGTATCAGAGAGTCGTAGCCCATGGTTATTTCGCATGTACCTAAAACAGGAAACCAGCATGAGGGGAAGGGGTCGTGCTAGAGGGTAGAGGGAAATAAAACTTACTTCATGGAGCCAGATTAGAAAGATGGAGGAAGAGGAGGGACGTGGTGTGGACGGAACATAGTAGGACGCGGAAGGCACCGGGAGTGGCCGAGCCAGGAGGGGCTGGGGGAAAGTAAGGGGACAGTGAAGGGGGGTGTGGCCAATCGACTGGAGGTGGGGAGACTAAAGTGACAGACACTTTGGAAATCAACCCAGCACAACTTGGTGCCCAACTTGGGTAAGGAGAAGGGCCAGTGAAAGACGCATGAAGTAAGTGTGGATGACTGAGAGAGAGTCGTAGCTCGGAACATGAGCCGCCCTGAATGTCCCGGGAAAGAAGGTAAGCTCTGCAACCTGCTGGGTGGGAGGCGAGGGCTAGCAGGATGTGACAGGGGCAAGGTCTACAGCAGTGGAAGTGTGGACAACTGTAAGGAGATACGGGAGCCTGGGAGAGAGGAATGTGATAGAATATGTCGATTTAGGAGTTTCAGTCCAGACCTGGCAGAAGCAGCCTTGAGACGAATGAGCTCTCTGGGGAAACACACACAGGAAAGAAGGCTTCAGCTTTGGCACACACTGGCATTTGGAAGGTGGGAGGAGGAAAAACAGTCATAGAAGATTCCAGAAGTCACCAGAAGGTAGGAGAACCAGAGAAATAAGTCACAGATACCGAGATATGGCAGTTTCCAAAAGGGAAGAGTATAACAAATGCAGCAGGGATGTTGACCAGGCTAAAATAGAGAAAAGCATGCTCTGCTTTGTCAGAAAGAAAGAGTAAAAGTAATGGAATTTAATTCCACCCCGTGAAGAGAGATAAATTCCTCTATTCAGGCAGAAGCTGTTCTCCTGGCCTGGGTTACCTAGAACGTGCCTCACTATTGTACCTCACTTCGCTTTTGTAGACACAGGCTCCTTGTTTCAAAGAGAGGTGCCTAGTCGGTAGGTATAAATGTGTACCAGGAAATCTCACTGCGCTAAACAAGTTCCAGAAAAAAATAATTTCTCAAGAGTCAACCATGATCAAAAACCCCAAGATCATGACAGTTAAAACCTTAATAAGTACCTAAAAGTAGAGTGTGCATACAGGCAGCCTTAGAAACATGTTTCTACCCTAGGAATATAAAATTGCAATTTGTGAAACCATCTGGTACCTACATCGATCTCCTTTGAGGAGATTCTCCATGGAACCTAAAAACACAAGTCTTCCCCCTTTAGAGGAAATCTTTTTTAAGTATCAAAAAATAATAAAGTATAAATACAGCAGTCTTCTTAAAAGAATGTGCTGTGTCTGTCCATTGCCTGTAACAAATGCCAGAGATACCCCTGTGCAGTCTTTAGGGATTACTACATAAATGATGAGCATTCTTAAAAATATGCAAACGCCAGTTCGATCGCGTTTTCATTGCTCTCGTTGTGGATTATGTCTATTGAGAGAGAAAACAGATCTCAAGCCAAGTAGAGAGAAAGATAATACCCCACATATTGCGTTGAATTTAACATATTTAACAGAAATAACAGAGACAAAGCTTACTCTAGGGCTTTCCTTTCAAAATTTGGTAATTCCAACAATTCCTTTGTTTCATGAAGTGCTGGAAATAATAGCAAGAATATTTGCATTCTTGTTTTATTTGACAAATGCTTCTCATCATTTTACCTTCTATGTAGTCTTACATATCTTTTCATTTTGTTCCTAACCCTTTCAAAGGAAATCCTATAGCCCTATACCTTTTTTCATTTTTGTACTTGAATGGTAAAATCTTTATGATATATATTAAAACCACCCACATATTACTGCACCAGGATTTAATTAGGGGAAGATTTTTTTTTCTGATTCCGTTTCCTCTGCTACATGGATTATGCCACAAACAGGAGAACAACAGGAGAAATGAATAAAAATGACAAATTGTTTGTTGGCAGGGCTTAGGGGAAGAAGATACACCAAACTTTGCTGATGGCACCATAAGCTGAAAAAAAAATCTTTTTAAGGAAAATTTTGCAATATGTGACAAGTTATAAAAATTGTCCTACTCTTTGACCCAGTAGGGCCGCTTGGAGGAAAGTGCCCCGAGGAATAATTCCAAGGAAACAAACATATTTGTAAAAAGATGTTTTGAGCCCTGCCATGTATTAAAATGAGTAGTTGGAAATAACCCAAGTACCCAACTGTGAGGAAATGGCTTAGGCAGACTGTGCTCTATTAATATAATAGAATATTAAGTGGTCACCAGGAATGACAATTATAGAGATGATTGTGAAATCTGGGAAGTATCATGCAAAGTCATTCTCAATGGAAAGAGTGGAAAACAGACTGAGGGACAGGGTAGAAGGTACAATGTCACGATTCTATAGGTGGCTGTAGGGTGCAAGGAACTGGAGATGTAGCAGGTTAGTTACCAGGTTTCTTCAGCTTTTATTTCACCTTGCCTTTCAGATGAGCCTGTTTGACCAAGACTGTTCAGTTTATAAATCCTGCCACTCACCTTGTAGGCAGCACACCCTCTGGGAGAGGCAATTGCAGAAGATGGAGAAAAGAAGGAGGTGTGCATAGTTTGGGAACAATGCAATGTTTTGACCCATTGCTTTCATGTGTGTGCATTGTTGTGCATAATCTAATTTGAAGCTCAAATAATATTTTTAAAGAATGTGAGCTTTGTATGTTTATCAAAAGCTTTAAAAGGTTGAGGAAAATTTCCCCCTTTTAATTTGTCCCATGTATTGATTTAACCTAGGAAATGCCACTTAAATTGGATGTCTAGATAGTCCATTGACATGGTCCACATTGAAGCAGTCTGGCCTTCCGCAACTATCGCCCAAAATAATTGCCTGTCCGGCAATGTACCAAGGAAGAGCGTTCATATGAGATAAACAGGCTGATGGTCTGTCTCATTGTGGTGGCAGTATGGCTGTGCACTTAAAGGCAAATTTTCAAAGGGGATTTAAAATTTTTACTAAGGATGTGGGCTAAATGGAGGACCAAACAGTCTCCACAAGTGTATGACTAAAAAGTCTCATTGTTTTGTCATACACTTCAATGCAACTTCTGCCATGCCCAGCCCACTGCCTCCTGAGTCCTGCTTCAGCAGGGCTGCATCTGTCTCCAGCTCCTCCACTGCCACCTCCAGTGGCTTCTTCCTCCATCGTCTCCAATCTAAATGAAACTTACACTGGACCCTTCTTTTTTCCTCCAGGCAGTGGTGAGCCAATAAGTGCTTAACAACCCACTCTCTGGAGAGAGGAGCCCTGACTTACAGCCTTTGCCCATTGCCGTGGTGTAAATGGTCTTACCATGGCTGATTTCAGGCTACCAAGACGACATTGCTGAATACAGAGGGGAGAAGAGACGCACAATAAATAGGCACCATTGTGTAGTATTTATACCACACAGAACAGTAGATAATAGTAAAATGTAATAAAATTAGTAGGAAGTGAAGAGTTCTGAATATTTACTATCATTGTTTTCAACAAAACATACTTAATCATAGGCTTACGAATTTAATTTCTAAGGTTTAGTAATAGCTCATGAGATTCCTGAAAAGTTAACAATCAGCTCTTGCAAGCTGTCTCTAACACACCAGCACATCTCCCCATTAAAAACCATAAAACTATGAGTTTGCCATTTGCCACTGCCCTTCTTGAAGCTTTCTCCTCCCATGGTTCTAGGACGGCACAGTGTCAAAGTTGTCAGATGAGTAATTGGAAATAACCGAAGTATCCAACTGTGAGGAAATGGTTTAGGCTTCCTTTGATATGGCCAGAGTGTCAAAGGAAACCATCTCTTTCCCTCAACCCCTTGCATATTGTGCCCCATGTTTTCACTCTTGACCTGCGTCTCTTCTAATCTTCCCTGTGTGATCTCATTCACATTCACCTACACATTAGTGACTCCAGAAGGATTCCAGAATCTGCAGCCCAAATCCTGACTTCTGCCCTAGGTTCAAGATGGGCCACAGACATCACCGCATAGCCCTTATTTTTGTGCCTTCTTTCCTACCTCTTTATCCACGCTTGATATTTTTCCTGTATTTGTTATCCAGGTCAAAGAACATTCCCACCCATGCACTAATTCATTCACAAATGTTAAGGATTTGATATTGGCCAGGCACAGTTTTAGGCTATGGAAATACAACAGAGAGCAAAATCACTAAAGTCCTCAAAAAGTGCAATTTCTAGAGGATGTCATGAACAGGCCACAAAACAAACAAAGAAACAAAAACCAGGTATGTCTTGTAATGTCAGATGACGATGATCACAGTGAAGCGCAGGGAATTTTAAAGGCACCCTCAGTCCCTTTCTCCTTTACTCCCCACATCCAGGTGGATGCTAAGGACCTATCCCTTGGCTGCCTCAATACCCCTCCTCCCTCTCCAGATTGGCATTGGCTCACGTTGGGCATTAGCACCTGTCCCTTCCAGCCTCTGACCTGGCCTCCCTGTTACGGTGCTTGCCTGGTCCAAACTCCACATTCTCTCAGGAGCTTTTCAAAATCACGCCCTCCTCTCATGAGGCACTTTAGTAACTGTAGGATAAATTCTTCGGCATACTGTACAAGGCAACTAATTTTGCAAGTTATTTACCACGTGTGAAATGCTCGGTGAACATACATGTGCACATACACAAACACACGCACACACAGCTTATTTGCATCTATAACCCATGTAGTCACAGAAAGGATTTCATTATCCTTCCGACAACTTGGTGAATTCATGTTATTTTTCAATATTTACTGGGACTAGAACTTTTCGTAATCTGGCCCGATCTTCCTCCCTGAAGTTCCCTCTCCTGCCCCTCCCCCAGTACACCTGAAACTCCAGCTCGCTGTCCTGCTTTTCTGTCTAAAGTGACTTTCACACCTGTGAGCCTCTGCTCACGTTGTCCCTTTTGCAGGGATGTGTTTGCTTCACTTTCTCAGCCCAGCACAACACAGCTGTTCAGACATCTCTTCTTAGGGAGGGCTTCCTCCCTCTAGCCTTTATCCCTTCATCCCTCCCCTTTGCCCCAGGAAACCTCTCCCTCCTGGGCACTCCCATAGCCCTTCACTCATAACACATTTTTGTTGGGCACCTACTATGGCCTAGGCACTATTCCGGAGACTGGGGATAAGTGATGAATAAAGCTACGTCCCTGCCCTGGTGGGGTTGGTATTGTAGTGGGCAGAAATGGAACATCAACACATCAATAATTTCAAATAGCAATGCATGCTGACAAAAATAAAGCAGTGGGTCATGAGGTGGGAGGCCCCCAACGTGGCCCATGTATCAGTCCGCTCTGGCTGCCATAGAAAAATACAGACTAAGCACCTTAAACCGCAGAAATGTATTGTCCCACAGTTCCGAGGCTGGAAGTCCAAGACCAAGGTGTCAGCAGGGTTGGTTTCTGCTGAGGCCTCTGTCCTTGGCTTGCAGACGGCCACCGTCTTGCTGTGTCCACACGTGGTCTCTTTCCTCTCTGTGCTCACATCCCTGGTGCCTCTTTGTGTGTCTAAATCTCCTCTTCTTATAAGGACACCGGACAGATTGGACAAAGTAACTTAACTACCTCCTTAAAGGCCCTATCTCCAATTATAGTCAGAGTCTCAGGTGTGCTAGGGGTTAGGGCTTCAACATATGAATTTGGGGTGAACAAAATTCCACTCATAACATCTAGGAAACCTCCCTCCCCAGGAGGGACAGTTGCAGCACACTGTCATATATTAGAGTAGGCATCTGTGTCCATTCTCATGTCCCCGATTAGTCACAGTGCAGTGAGTAGAGGGATGTCTTGTTTCTCTTTGTCCCACATTGCCTAGCATATATACAATAAGTATTTATGAATAAACAAATGAATGAATGACCTTTCATAGACAATTCATTTTCGGCCCAGGTCCAATCAATTATCCGTGTTTCAAAGTCCAAACAAAAATCTTCCGTTAGCTTAGTAGAAAATCACAGTGACACATCAGGGTGCCTAATTTTGGAGCTATTCATACCAAGCCACCTGAGTGGCTCACACTCTTCCCATTAATTTTTTCAGTGGGCATTGTACCACATCCAACCATCTGACAAGGAGAGTAAAATTGCATCAGATTTTCCAATTTTGAAAGCTTGAGGATTATTTCTGGCTTGGAAGACATTCAGTCCCAGGAATATCGATGCCAGCATCTGTACTAACGTTAATTTGTTTCCCCATCTGCGCTATTTGTGACTCTAACCCATTCGAACTCTCAAGAGAGGGAGAGAGCTGGTTGAACCCTGCAGTTAGAGAAGATAGTAAGCGGGAGGCTTCCTTTTAGGAAAATGCACGGAGCAACACAAAAGGGAGAAACTCCCTGAGACATCACATGCGTTCTTCACGCTCTTGCAGAATACGTGGAGCAGATGGAGAGGGAAAGGCATTGAGAATTTTCATCTTTCTACCTTGAAAGTAGAGTAGCAACTTGGGCAGCTCACAGGCAGAATCACATTTCAAATTACACATGGCTCCTTAATTAACATTACTTTCGTTTGAGTGGGGAAACAGCACATATTCTTTTATAACTTGTACACGTACGAGAAGTATAAGAGGAAATGTTATTTCAGATCCTAGTTCTGTGGTCTTAATTCTAGCATTTTATTTTTTATACGTTTGCTCTTCATGAATTCACATTTGTGTGTGTGCACGTATATATTTTATTATTTGTACGGACTGCCATGTTGTCGAAAGGATTTTAGGCAATTGATAAGATCACTTAAAATAGAGAAAGCTCGTATGACTCAAAAATAGGATAAAAATTTTGTATATGGCCTTTCCTTGAAATGAGACCAACTTTTTGTACTAGATCTTTCTCACTGAGATTTGCTGAAACATAATTAAATCCTTCTGTATAAGTGCTTGATGCTCCAAAAAAAATAATGGTGCTAGCAGGAGCCTGGGGTGGTATCTCTGGGAATAGGGAAGATTATGTTCCATGTTTCAGGCACATTTTTGCAAAACAAATGAAAGGGATTCATTTTCTGTGTGGGGAGCAGTCGTGAAGTTCTAAATGCTTTGGTTTCTCAACCTTGGTATTAAGAGCTTTCAACTCATGCACATGTCCTGTTGTTGTTACAATGGATGGGAAGGTGGGGTGGAAGAACAAGTGGTCAGAACACTCTCTCAGAGAAAGCTATTCCAGTTTAACTTCATATGGACCATTAGGGGATGTGGTAGGTGGGGAGTAGTTGGAAAAACAGAGAAACAATAATGGATTTCACAACAATGAAACACTAAACACCATCACACCAAACATTGAGGACCATGGATATGCATAGATGGTGGATTGGTGACAGGATACAATGGAGGAGTTAAGAGTGTGGGTCTGGCCTCCAAGTGGCCTGGGTTCTAGCACCAGCTCTGCTGTTTACATACTAGCTGTGTGACCTTGCTCAAGGCCACACATTCGACCTTTCTGGATTCAGCTATGCAAAATGTTTCTTATTCTTAGCTCCCTTTCAGAAGCAAAGGAATCATACTAGAAGAGATCATGATCACATTCTTGTCTTCGTTTGTTTAGTGTTGCTATAAAGGAATACCTGAGACTGGATAGTTAATAAAGAAGAGAGGTTTATTTAGCTCACAGTCTGGCTGGCTGTGGAAGAAGAATAGCACCAGCATCTGCTCTTGTTCTGCTTCTGGTGAGGCCCACAGGCTGCCTTTGCTCATGGTGGGAGGCAAAGGGAGCCAGGTGTGCAGAGATCACATGGCAAGAGAGGAAGCAAGGGTGGGGTGGGGGCTGCCAGGCTCTTTTTAACAACTCTTCTCTCAAGGGAACTAAGAGAGTGAGAGCTCACTCACTCCCAGGGAGGGTCCCAATCTATTCATGAGGGATCCACCTCCACGCCCCAAACATCTCCCATTGTGCCCCATCTCCAACGTTGGAGATCAGATTGTAACATGAGATTTGGAGCGGACAAATATCCGAACCATAGCGATTCCCTTTCAGTTTTCAGCACGGTAATACAATGAAGAGGTGCCCAAGAAGCTGCTGAAGAAGTGCTGCCCTGCTGGGGACAGGCCAGAGAAAAGTTTACTTCCATTATCCTAGGCAGGCCCTGGGGGCATTAAGCCCGGGGCTTGGCCTCCAGGCACCTTCCACTAGCTTGTCAAGCCTTTGCTTTGAATAGCTCATTACTAAAAAGGTTAATAATAAAAGACTTTGTGCATCTTTTTGGAATAACTGCTTCTCTCTCCTTCATGGTTTACAAACTGTCTTAGCCCTTTCAGGTTACTATAACAAAGTACCATAGGTGGTATTTTGGGTGTTTTATAAACACCAGACATTTTTTTCTTGGTTCTGGAAGCTAGAATTCCAAGACCAGGGTGCTAGCCTGGCCCACTTGTCATGAGGGTCCTCTTCTGGGTCGCAGACGGCCACCTCTTCCTTGTGTCCTTACTCAGAGGACGGGGTGAGGGAACTCCCCAAATCTCTTCTTACAAGGGCACTGGTCCCATTCATGAAGGCTCCACCCTCATGACATAATTACTT